TGAGTTGGAAGGGACCCTAAGGTGTTATCTGGTCCAACTCTCCTACAGTGAAGAGAGACACCTACAACTCAGGCAGGTGCTCACAGCCCCTCCAGCCTGACCTTCAGAATAGAATCAGAGAATCCTTTGATCCAGAATGGACATTTACACTGGGATATGACCAGGTATCTGTATCTTTCACTTCTAGCAAAGGAAACAGGAACTGGAGAGCACTCACCATGATTTCCAAGAAAGATGGATAATTTTTCTCACCAGACCAACTGTCTGCTTAAAAGCATCAGTTCTGTCAACTTGATTTGCAAGTTGAGAGGGGCCTAGACAAGTGTCTTAAGCTTCATAAAAGAAGAAACACGTCTGTGTATCTTGCAAGTGTTCTTCCAAAGTACACAGACCCAGGTTGAAATATCTACCTGTCTGATTCAGAACAAAGACCAGACAAGCATAGGGTCCTGCTCTGCACACTGCTTTTGTTAAATCAGACCTTCATTTTTGTCCACAACTTCTGAAAAAGAGTGAAACTATTTATCTCAAGTCTATTAACAGCAATATTTCAGTATCTAGCAGACAACAGGTGAGTGACAAAATATTTTGCTACCAACAAATATCGTCTGTATGTTGTTATTTGGAAACATATTCCCTGCTCTTGCTGAAGGTAATATGTAGATCTCCTACTATACAACAGTTAGCAAAGTGATCAGGTTTTAACAGATCTTAAAAAAAAAAAGATGCCTTTAATTAATAAATCGTTGAGTTTCCTGCACTTGGAAACATCACCATCCCCTTGCAAGAAGACACTGCTAGCATAAAACAAGAAAATGCCAACTCCACAGATGCTGTTTTTACACACAGACACATCCCTTCATTATCACAGATGGGATAGACAGAGTCAAAGCCCCTGAAGAGTCATTAAGGTTGTAAGAGACCTCTAAGATCATCTAGTCCAACCCCAACTCCCCCACCATGCCCACACACGTCTCTCAATACCGCATCTCCACAGTCCTTGGACACCTCCAGGGTCGGTGACTCCTCCACCTCCCTGGGCAGCCTGTGCCAATGCATCACTGCTCTTTCTGAGCATAAATGTTTCCTAACATCTAACCCAGCACTGGAGTTTTCATCCAGCATTTCACTTTTCACCCAGCACTGGAGTTTTACCACTACACCCTGTATGCCCACCGGGACAGGCCATCACTACAGATCACAGAATCACACAGAATCACAGAATCACCCGGGTTGGAAGGGACCTCAAGGATCATGTAGTTCCAACCCCCCTGCCTAGCAGGGCCACCAAACACACACATTCAGATCAGGTTGCCCAGGACCCCGTCCAACCTGGCCTTAAACACATCCAAGGACGGGGTATCCACAACCTCCCTGGGCAGCCTGTTCCAGGGCCTAACCACTCTCCTTGTATAGAACTTCCCCCTAACATCCAACCTAAATCTTCCCTCCTTCAACTTCGATCCGTTTCCCCTAGTCCTGCTGTTGTCAGCCCTTTTGAAGAGTTTACTCCCCTCCTGGGTGTAGGTTCCCTTCAGGTATTGATAGGCTGCAATGAGGTCACCCCGCAGCCTTCTCTTCTCCAGGCTGAACAAGCCCAACTCCCTCAGCCTGTCCTCATAGGGGAGGTGCTCCAGCCCCCTGATCATCTTAGTCGCCCTCCTCTGGACCCTTTCCAAAATCTCAATGTCTTTCTTGTACTGAGGGCTCCACACCTGGACACAGTACTCCAGATGGGGCCTCACAAGAGCCGAGTAGAGAGGGACAATCACCTCCCTGTCCCTGCTGACCACCCCTCTCCTGATGGAGCCCAGGATCCCATTTGCCTTTCGAGCTGCCAGAGCGCACTGCTGGCTCATGTTCAGTCTCTCGTCCATCAGGACCCCCAGGTCCTTCTCTGCCGAGCTGCTCTCAAGGACCACTCCTCCCAGCCTGTGCGGGTGCCTGGGGTTCTTCCGGCCCAAATGCAAAACCTTGCACTTTGCCTTTATGCAAGAGTTTAAATGAGAGTTTAAATGCTGTACGAGCTCAAACTGCTTGTTGCATCCGTTCCCCTGTTTTCTTATGAAAATAAATACAGAGAACATCTAAAAAAATACGAATCAATCCAAGCCAAGGGCCAGACTGCACACTTTCAAAAATGAAAAATACATCTAATTATGTACAAGGTTGCTATGACCACAGGGAGAAATGCCAACATACTCTCAGTGCTTGGCCCTGCTTTTGGCTTGGCCCTGCATTTGGCTCATTTATATTCATGAGTAAATCTGGTAAAAAATTTTCAAGAAATATTTCTTTTGTGATGAGAAGATGCTATTTTTTACTGAAGTGCTCTGCAAAACATGCTGATTTTCATGAAAAAACATCCAACAGGAGGAAAAAAGAAGAAGAAATTGTGTTCAGTCAAGAGTTTATGCTCAGGAATTTTGACATCTGACTTCAAAAGTACTCTCTTTCTACTTAACTTCTTGTATTGCAGATTTTAATGAGCAGTGTGTGCTGCCTCATGCCTGGTGTGGGATGGCATGAAATAGAGCTTGGGTCAATTTGGTTAATTGAATTTGACTTAGGAAATGAATTAAATGTGTATGATAATAGCTAATAGCTTTAAAAGGCATACTGTCAGCTCCTACCTCTAACAAAATATTAAAATCATGACACGATGCATAATTATTGTCATTGTGAAACCATGAAAATAAAAGTTTTGGAAGACAAAAATAAATTTTTTTAAGTTTAAATACCAGAATATCAAAGTTAAGCTTTTCAGGAACCTGGAGTGAAAATTTCCTACAGCCAAAGGTGAGTTTCATGTCCAGCTGAAGTTTTTAAAATGTTCAGTATTGCGCCAGAAGTGAAAACAGGATTGTAAGGCCTCTGAAAGTTCAGAAAAATAATAGAATCATTAAGGCTTGGATGACCACAAAGACCATCTAGTCCAACCACCAATACCTCCCTGCCAGGCCCAGTATGCTGAAGCCCATCTTTAGGCATCACTGGCTTCTCCAATGCTTGCACGTTCCCTCTCATCTCACTATCAGCTCCAACCTTGAAGTATCAATTAACATAAACTCAAGACATCCTCCATGCGAGGCTGCTCAGCTGAGCAACACATCTTCATGCAGGAAATGCTATCATGCAAAGGAGGAGAGCCCAGAGAAAGGGATGGAGCTCTCACACATCCTCAGTGCCAGACCCTGGATAAAGGTCACTATTTGGAAATTCACCTTTTTCCTTTTTTTTCCCCTTTTTTTTCAAGATGAAACAGTCCTAGCAGCCACAGACATAGACAAACTTTAGAAACACGAACCACAACAACACAGAGTGTGCAGTGCAGTGATTTGGAAATGCTCACCAGGGTCTGTGTGGGCCGGGGATGGTGAACACTGCCTGGGAATTGCAGGGGGGAAGGAAGGGAGGGCTTGACAGAGCAGAGCCCAAAGGTCAGCAACACCTCAGCGAGGATGAAAGACAGCATGAGCGCACTTGGCAGCCAGACACAGTCCTGCTTTCTTTGCACAGGGAGCTCAGCAGCCAGTGGAGCCTGTGAAGTCCTCCTCTGCTGTGCACAAAGCAGCCCCACTTCTCTTGGAGGGATGTGGGGATGTGCAGCAGCAAAGATGCAAGTAGCACGATGTTCTTTGTATTTTTGCAGTTCCTGCTCCAGAACTTCAAACAGCCTTTCCCAAGTTGGGGCCTGATCTGCTAGGGGGCAATCAGCCCATGGCTGATTTTTATGGTCCCTTCTAACTCAGCCACTCTATGGTTCTACAATTCAGTGCTATTAAAGCAGGTGCTGCCTCTCCTTCATAGGGAAAGAAGATGAGCAAAGCATGGGCTGCAAGGATGCTAACACTGCTCAGGCAGAGGTGTGGTACCTTCCCAGGTGCACAAACAGTACAGCACTGCTGCATCATGAGTCTGCAGCAATCAGATACCTGTACCAAAAAGAAAATACCAGGACCCTGGGAATAAACTAGGAATCTCTGTAACACTTCTCGTGAGCACCAGTGTGCCTTATAACATTTTTATATACATAAGTGGCTCTGGCACACGCAGGCATACACACACATGAGCAGAGTGCAGTTGACTCCACAAAGCAAAAGCTCTCACAAGAAGCAGCCTTCATGGATGAGAAGTCTCATCTGCAGATGGAGCTAATCAGAGGACATCAGTAAAGGGATATGTGTGTTCTCATGCTTTGTGTATACTTCAATGTATCATCAAGTGTTCTTTATCATCCTTACGACAGCTTTAAGATTACTGACGTTTCTCAAACACACAGCTTAAAAAGAAGGGAAAGGGAAAGGGAAGGAAAAGGGGAAGGGGAAGGGGAAAGGGAAGGGGAACGGGATGGGACATGGAAGTATACACAAAAGAGGAAAGAAGAGAGC